TAAATTAAATTAATTATTATATATAATATAAAATATTTAGAATTAAATATTATTAATAATATATATATTAAAAATATATGTATTTATTTATTTAATATTTATAAAATATTATTTTTTTTAATAATTTATAATTTTAGAATAATAAATAAATAATTAATTTCAAATATTTAAATATATTAAATTTTATAAAAAAAATATATAATTTATATAATAAATTAAATATTAAGCAGCAAACAACAAGTAAGCAAGCTACATGCAGGCAAGCAGGCAAGCAAGCAGGCAAGCAGGCAAACAAGCAAGCAGGCAAACAAGCAAGTACGCAAGCAGGCAAGTAAGCAGGCAAGTAAGCAGGAAAGCAAGCAGGCAAGCAAGCAGGTAAGCAAGCAGGCAAGCAAGCAGGCAAGCAGGTAAACAAGCAGGTAAACAAGCAGGCAAGCAAGCAGGCAAGCAAGCAGGCAAGCAAGCAGGCAAGCAAGCAAGCAAGCAGGCAAGCAAGCAGGCAAGCAAGCAGGCAAGCAAGCAGGCAAGCAAGCAGGCAAGCAGGCAAGCAAGCAGGCAAGCAAGCAGGCAAGCAGGCAGGCAGGCAAGCAGGCAAGCAAGCAGGCAAGCAAGCAGGCAAGCAAGCAGGCAAGCAAGCAGGCAAGCAAGCAGGCAAGTAGCGGCCAAGCAAGCAAGAAAGCAGCAGGCAAGCAAGCAGGCAAGTAGCGGCCAAGCAAGCAAGAAAGCAGCAGGCAAGAAGCAGCAGGCAAGAAGCAGCAGCAAGCAAGCAGCAGCAAGCAGCAGCAAGCAGCAGCAAGCAGCAGCAAGGAGCAGCAAGGAGCAGCAAGGAGCAGCAACAACAGGCAAGCAGTAGGTGAGCAGCAGGTGAGCAGCAGCAGGTAAGCAGCAACAAGTAGCAACAAGTAGCAGCAAGCAGCAGCATGGAGCAGCAAGCAGCATGCAACCAGCAGGTGAGCAGCAACAGGTAAGCAGCAGCAAGCAGCAGCAAGCAGCAGGCAAGCAGTAGGCAAGCAGCAGGCAAGCAGCAACCAGCGTTTGCCTCCTTGAAAGAATGATCAAATATATTCTTTAAAAATCAATGCAACAAAAAAATTGAACTTTTTCCAGGCGCACGGCCCCAAAACAATGAAATCGTTTAATTACTAAAAGTTGTGGTGATGCCAAACTTGAACTTTTTCCAGGCGCACGGCCTCCCGATACGACTTTTACAAGCTGATACGACTTAACGCTAGCGTTAGTACAGTAATCGTCCGTTCCCAGCTCTGTTTTTCTAATGTACAAATCACCTAGGCTGATTTGCAAATTAACCTAATCCAGCAACCAGCGCACCCAATCCCCAGTCATCCATATTTGAGCCACCAATGCCCTACTAGCAAAGTAAGTGGGTAGTTGGAAGGAAGTTGCGATTCCACATCCAAACAGCGGGTATCGTTTCCTCGACTGGATGCTTCCGGCTGGGCCACCCACTAGGCTAGGCCAACAAGCGTTCCTTTGGTCTGGAGATGTCTGAAGCCTCTTTCTCCTTCCTTTCTCTGTTTTCCATTCATCTTTTCTCTTTCCTTTGCCTTTTTTCTTCACCTCTTTTTCTTCTTTTTTTTCCTCTTTTTCTTCTTCCAGAAGCACTACAGCCTGTATTCTTTTCTCATTCCTCTCTTCCTTCTTCCAGGAGCACTACTGTACAGCCCGGACGTACAGTGCTCGAATTGGGCGTAGCGATATGGCGTCTAGAAGCGATGTTATGACCTCATCATACAAAAGTTTTTTCAATCACTATATATATATATACACGTATAAATAAGTCAAAACAAAACGGTACCAATTAATGTAAAACAATAAATGCAAAAACATTGAAAATAACAATCACCATTATGCATATGTTAAACCTCTTAACAAAACAAATATACTGTAGTTGCAGTTAAAGCTATTGATTCCTTGAAGATAACCATTAAAATCAATAATGAAAACATAATGTATTTGTTTTACATAATCACATCATTTTGTTATATTTATAGACTTATGTTTATGAGATTATGAGATGTCTCTCGGTCTAAATTTGAAGGCTTAAACCATATCTACGACATAGTCAGACCTTCAAAAAATAATGTATCTAATTTGCGGCACTCCTTCTGGTCAGGATGTGTCCGCCGTGATGTCTACCCCACCGCTGCAGACCAGTACTAAGTTGCAATGGTCCAGGGTCAACATGTTCTCTTCCCAAATCACTCGAGCTATGAAAAATACCTCTATCCTCCCATCTCATGAAATACTACTTGGTTGATAGGTTTGCCGCTCTACTATGGGTTAGTTCATAAGCTCCATTGAACCAGGTTTTCTGATCACTATAAATAAGAGCTACATATTTTTCATGGCATCAACCTGGGAATCATCCTGGATCATCCGATATGTCTGCACTGCAGTCTGCACCGATAGGCGAGGTCAAGTCAAGATGGTAATCATACCATCGGGGGGGCCCTGGGGGGGCCCGGGGACCGGAAGTCTCGCCATGTTGGAAAGAAACAAAAGAAACATCGTTTCTAGGTAGGTTTTGCCCTGTTTTTGGATGATGTTTGGGGTGTGTTTCTCTTTTGATTGATAATCTTTACATAATCTCTTTTGAAGGGACATAACAAGTGCCCTATTTCAACGATTTGAAGCTGTTGTGGCCCTGATGGCTGGAGCAACTCCCCCAAAATGTGGCAAAACCCCTATTCAAAAGAAGATAATTTGTGATGTCGATTGCAATGCCTATCCACCATTTACAGACACGTCCAGAAAAACTTGCGTGTGATTGATCCCAGTCCCTCGTTCAAACCGCGCCGGGTGATTTGAAGAAACATCGGCACTCACATGGTATGTGCGGCCTGGAGTGGTAGAACCGGCGATGATAAAATGTCGTCCCTTCTATGATATTTATTTGCCCATCGTTCACCAACATAAACACCCCTAACAAGACCAACATTGTTTAACATGGTATGTCAGGCATGGGTATGACGGTATGTATGGGTACTGACATGTCAACTATCAGCAAACAATTTACTCCAAGTCAACCATGTGTCTGGGTGTAAACTCTTTTATATATACATACTTCCACCAGAGTCTGTGAACCACAGTTGGAAAATCAGTCCAGAACAGAACAGTTTCCCAAAGCGCGGCAGTGAATACATGTCCAGACGTATTCAAATGTAAAATGTCTCTGTGCGCTACACACATGCACAAAATCATCACCATTTCGAGGATATGAGTGATACTTGAGGGTGCATCCCAGTTAGTGGTTGGCAACCCTAGTTAAGTCCCCGATTCCCGAGTTTTCCTATTTATAACCAGGTAAGCCCATTTACTAACTATATTTAACAACCATTTAGCCATCTATCAACCATTACTAACATTAGTATACATTAGTGTCATTAATCATTATTAACAATTATATAAACCATTATCAATCATTATCACTCATTATCTATAAATATCTATAAGCAATATAATCATTATGAACATTTACTAATCATAGTTTTCCCATTTTTAAGCCATTTAATAAAATAATATCTAAAAATAACCATTCACCATTATCAAATTATGATATATAGTTCTATTACAAAATCATGAAAATCATTATTAACATTTACTAACCAATACTAACCATATGTTTCCCCTTATTAAGCTACCACTGGACCCGGTCCATGAAAGCGGCCCGGTCAAGCCTTGGGCACCGGTGGCCGCACCTGACGACTCGATGGAAACGACCCGTGACAAAACGGCATCTGTCGTTTACCCTCTGGGTCATATATATCTATCTATATATAATATACATATATACATATATAATGTACATACATACATACATATATATATATAACTATATGTATAACTATATATACATATTACATATATGCGTATGTCAAGATATTCACGTATGTAGTGTTGTAAGTTGTAGTGCAATAAATACGCGTATATATATATGCAAATGACGGTTTGCCAAAATGATTTTCCTGGTTTTGTTGATAAATCGTAATTCCTTGCGTGCCGCTTCTTATTGTGCCTTTAAAACCATGACAGACCTAAATAGTCTGAAACCCTGCATTTTATCTTTCATGCTTGAAGCAGTAGCTAAAACCTGCAGTAAATGCTAACGCGCGTCTATATGAAGTGGGTGCCGCTTCTAGTTGTTAGTGGTGGAACTGGAATATCTGCAGAGCTGGTCGTTGCCTTTGCTATTTTGCTGTCACTGTTGCTTTGTCAAACAGACAGGATAAAGTACAAGTTCTCTGGTAGCGACTGGGTCACGGGTCAACCAAAGCCGTTTTTTGAAACTTTTGCTAGCGCATTGCTAGCGGGGATCTAGCGGGTAAAATTATGTACAAATTCGCAAAGTTGAGCCGCAACCTCGAAAATATAGGAAAATTGTTGAGTAGCACAGAAATTCACTAAGACATCCTTAGGATAAAGGAGCTAAGTGTTACATTTTGACTTTTCTTCATGTTGAAACAACAAGCAGACAGGAACACAAAAAAATATCCTTGAACATGGGTGTGGAAAAAAAAACAACTAGCGCAAACCTAGCGGGTTTGCTAGCGCTGCCTTGCAGAATTGGTGAATTTAGTTGCGTCCCGCCTCATAACGAAGAGGAAAAACAACTAGGTCCACACTATTTATCAACAACTAGTACAAAACTTGGTAACGGCGCTGATAAGAGGCCGTGCAATGGTACAATATCCACATTCGTAGCATCAGTGTCCAATCTCAATTTCCTGAGGTTTTTTCACACTTTTGCATCATATTAACGTGTTTCAATGAGCTCAAAACCAAGTAGTGTTCACGATGTTACTCATTTTTGGAGGGGTTTACCTCGAAAATTTGCAGATTTTTATGACAACCATTGAACTCGAAACTTTGCTTGACATGAACTCTGGTTGTTTAAGTGTGGAAGTGCAGTGCAGCAGCGTAGCATGACGTATGTGTGGAAGTGCAAGAGAACGTGCAGCAGCGTAGCATGACGTATGTGTGCAAGTGCAGTGCAGCAGCGTAGCATGACGTATGTGTGGAAGTGCAAGAGAACATGCAGCAGCGTAGCATGACGTATGTGTGGAAGTGCAAGAGAACGTGCTGTGTGGTTGCAGTCGCAATGAACGTTAACATCCCCCCCACCCCCAAAACCCAAACAACGAATGTCAAGTTCACACGAACGTTAACATCCCCGGAAGAGTGGAGCAGCGTAGCATGACGTATGTGTGGAAGTGCAAGAGAACGTGCAGCAGCGTAGCATGACGTATGTGTGGAAGAAGTGCAGTGCAGCAGCGTCGCACGACGTATGTGTGGAAGTGCAAGAGAACGTGCTGTGTGGTTGCAGTCGCAATGAACGTTAACATCCCCCCCACCCCCAAAACCCAAACAACGAATGTCAAGTTCACACGAACGTTAACATCCCCGAAAGAGTGGAGCAGCGTAGCATGACGTATGTGTGGAAGTGCAAGAGAACGTGCAGCAGCGTAGCATGACGTATGTGTGGAAGTGCAGTGCAGCAGCGTCGCACGACGTATGTGTGGAAGTGCAAGAGAACGTGCAGCAGCGTAGCATGTGTGGAAGTGCAAGAGAACGTTCTGTGTGGTTGCAGTCGCAATGAACGTTAACATCCCCCCCACCCCGCAAAACCCAGCCAACAAATACAAGGACGACAAGCACACAGAAGCAGAGAAAAATGAAGACAGCACACGGCCCCTTAACAGCGCCGACACCCGAAACTTCTGTCAACTATTTTTGGCAAATGGTAATATAAATATATATATATGTACTACACATGTACACGTGCATTTGACCCATGCCGATCCGGATATGGGTCGATCTCCTGGCTTTGTGGTCACCAAACGAGTGTTGCCTACACAGATTGAAATGATGATGTCCAGATGTTCCCGGACACTATGGGCATTCAATTTCCACCAGCGGCCGTATCATTATCCAAAATATCCGTGTAGAATATCAAGGCCCAACCCCAGTTGAACGCTCCAAGATAGGAAAACTCACAAGCTTGGAATCTAGGTAAAGCTGATACATAGGTAAGAGTAGTAAGAAATCTTGGAAAACCACAATTGCATAGATTCCTTTACAAAACAGCTTCGAAATGTGGGTGGGATGGCCTTCGTCTTCCCAAATAGCACTGGAAAGTCAAAACTGCAACCAAAACAGTTCGTAACCATCACGATAAGTCAACGTAGCATAAATATACAATATTGAATCTAACTACATAAAATCCGAAATACATATTAATTAAGGTACATTAGCATGAATTAAGAAACATTAATCATATGAAATTAACTCATCGTTCATTGCGAAAGGCCTAAATCCCTGCAGCGCCTGGGGTTGTGGGAGCTCCTACAGGGCTGTGCTCCGTCAGGGGATCTCCCACAATCACCTCTCTATATATATATATATATATATGGGGAATATTATACCCAAACCATTGGGTATTATTGGAATATGATGATTATATCATGGGAATATCATTGGGAACATTCTATTGGGATATTCCCATTATATTCCCCTATGATATCCCAAGATGATATCCACATATCCACACTGCTTGAGTGTGCAGTTGGGAAAATTGGGTATAACTAGGGTAACCTCCAAAAGTTGGGTTATATATATGGTTGGACGCCCATTTATAACTAATAGGATATCCTCTCGCAATTGAACACTTTTCTGTGGAAAGTTGTCCATTTAGTTCAATGATAACACCATTGATCACCTATAAACCCTGGTGATTTCCATAGCACATGTGAAATTACCAGAGGGTAGATTGCATGAAATCATGTGGTGACCAGTAAGATAACTAATTTATAGTGGGATATATGACCAACAATATCAGGGATTGCCAGTAATTGGGATTTTACCCGGAACTTATGGGAACATATGGGTTCACATAGACATGATGATGTGGTTGACATGATGATGTGGATGATGTGAATGCTAACCACGACCATCGTCCGTAACTCGGAAATTTTCGAACTAAACTTCCTGTGGTGATTTGATCAAATCTCAAATCTTTCCGACGCAGCAATCAAATAATCAACTATCAATCATCATGATACAAACGCCCCTTGGTAATTTCACATAGCCATGCACATGTCCTATTTAGTCAGATGATGGCCGTTGATTTACCATTGAAAAAATGGTGATTTTCCATGTCGCGACTGTCACAAAGTATTCATCCAAGTATAGATATCCCAATTATATATATATATATATAGTAAACCATCCAAGTATTATATCCCAAGATTTACTAGAATTTACTATTGTTATTAGCTTTACCACTTTCTTCAATTCACCCCGTCGGTTCCTCCATGGCCACCAACATGCCGTGGTTGTAGCGCATTTTTTCCCGCACGCCACCCTGAGGCCGGCAGTCGCAAGGGGAAAAAAAAAAGTGGAAAATCTGCAACAGCAACATGTGCACATCAAAATTACACCATCAGAAAAAAAAAACACTATTAGAACAAATGAAAAACACCATTAGAAAACTAAGCTTAACATAATAACACCATTAAAAAAAACACATTTTTTTGGGGTGGAACTTTATATTTTTTGAGGAACACGATCCTTTTTGTTGAAGAACATCATCCAGTTTTGCCAGGTAAGACTGCAAGGGGCTTGATGGTTTTGCCCACAAGTACACGATACCCAAATAGAAATAAAGCGTTACAATTTATGGATTATGATATGATATAGTATACTGATGTATATTGTATAAAGTATTATAAATCGTAATTAGCAATATGTTCGATAACACCCCCTGATAATCCCCAATATATCCAATATCGATGGGATGACCATCATCACAAATAGCAAAGCCAAAATCATCATCCCCCGGGGACCGTCCAATGGACACGGAATTGCGCGGTCAGAATTGTATGTTATTTTTGGGATTTGGTAAATCTCTTAATTCAACATCATCCAACTATAGAATCTCCAACATATAATACTTAGATCTTCGAAATCCCCAAAAACGATCAAAAAAGGACATTTACCAACCCCCTGCCCGACAGCTCGACACCTTCATGATTTAGCACCACACTGGTGACATCCGGTGGCTGCCGGCTGCCAGCCTTGCTTCTTAGAAGACCCTGGCCATGGTGTGCGCCACAGATCCACTGACCCTGAAAAACCTCAGCAAAGGAAGGGCAAACCTTCCTTCATGGCTACCCCCAGATACCCTCCGGTGTCATCAAACATGGCAAGCTGGGAAATTCATCGAACTAAATGCCGGGTTTTCTAGCAAGCCATGTTTGATTATTGGAGGGTGCCCCCAAGAAAAAAGCGAGCAGAACCGTTCTTGTTCATCCATGACAAGAAAAAAACAAGTAACTTACATGAACAGACCGAATATCCACACAAAGATTCACTGGTTACCGAAGCTGCACTGAACATCTCAGACATATTCAAACTTCTCGACATGTATCTCGGAGCTCAACAAATGCAGTCTGTCCATTATCTCAAATCTCGCAAATGGAGTTGCAAAAGAAAACATACATATCTGCAGTAGTAGGTAGTAGTTCATTCACCAGAAATCAAGTTTGATTTTGCCATTGCCTCAACGGTGACATGGCAAGATGTGGCAATCCCCGGGCGCGTACTGTACGTGAGCGGAACCGGTTTGAGAGGTTCTTCGATCCCATTGGTTGAAGGGAACATTTACAAGAACCCTATTAATCCTATACATAATATCCTACATATATATATTATATTTATATATGTAGGATATATTATATATCCTACATATATAAATAAATATATATATAATATATATGGGTGTTTCCATAAAAGGCTGGTACCCAAATGTACCCAATAGCTGAATGGTTTATAATGGAAAATCCATCTATAAATGGATGATTTAGGGGTACCGGGTACCCCTGTTTTAGGAAACCTCCATATATGTATATATATATATATATATACGGTAACTACATTTAAATATACGGATTTTTAAATATACGAACAGGCATTTTAGACTACCTCCGGGAAGGTTTTCCTTGGCCCGCCCAGCCATTTAAACATACGGAATCCAATTCATTTAAACATACCGTAACTACATTTAAATATACGAACTGGTATTTCATACTACCTCCGGGGCCTCGCGGTTTGGCCCGCCCTCCACATATTTAAATGTCGTTACCGTATATGTATATATACACACACACACCATCGTTTGGGGGGTAAGAGCCGGGGCTTCCGGCGACGATTTTCCCAAACGCAATTGATTTCAGACCCAGCTTGCGTGGTATTCCCTGATGACACAAGCCTAAGCCAAGTGATTCCGCTCAGCAGGTGTCACATCTTCGCAGAAATTCATCATGAGAAGGCCTGGGGAATTTCTTTAGTGGATCTCGAAGTGTGACGTTTTGCTTTTGGGTCAGCATCCAACATGCTTCGCAAATCTTCTCCGAGCCGTCCGGGAACAGCGGTCCGCTCATTGATGCCAGCGGCATTCTCTTTCAAAGCAGTCTGCAAGGCGATAGAAATGGCGCAAGCGTGACACGTTGATGCCCCTGACAGCTTTTTGGATGCATTTCCGGAAGCGAATGGGGAGAGGTCCAGCCTTCCATGTGATATGTCAACCAAGGCAGTGGGAAAAAACAGAGAGCTCCAAGCGTACCTTCCTCACAAAAGATAAACTATACTTTTCCTTTCCAGGATGTTCATAAGTTTCTTGGCCCATTTTTTCAACCTCAAAAGCTACAGTCCCGGCCATGTTCTCCTTGTGAATTCCCACAGATCCATGGATTCTATGGATCCAACGGCCGAGCAGCTGAGTCGTTTCGGGTATCAATGACTTTGCCGCTTCCATGCTGCAGACCATTCTCCCACCGTCCCTGCGATTTCGGTGGAGAACTCAGGGAAGTTCATTGTGGTTGATCGGAACTATCCCGGCTAAAAGCAAACAACATAGGAGATAGATTATAGGTTATAGATGGTTATAGAATGTTATAGATGGTGAACATGTTACTTATAGTTGATGTTTCTTCTTTACACCGGATCCCAAGTTTCAGACATAGCAAACATCTTAATCACTTCCATCAGCAAGGAACACTGTTCATCATGTTAATGATGATACACAAGCAATTCATGTTGGGATGATTCCATCATTTTGGGATGATTCCCTTTGCGAACCAGAATATACTGTGACGTGTGGTGACGTCGCTATAATTAATCCAAATTTGGAAGGCCCGATAGCTGCTGTTGTCTCTACTAGAACAGGCCAGAGAGTGAAGTTTCCAACAGGGGAATGGCACACTTGTATAGCGAATTCTAACATAATCCAGCATACTGTGTGTATGGGATTCATGAGCCTTGAATTTTGACAAATCCCCACTTATACCCATAATTTGTCATCATTGTTGGTCCTATCCGCTTCTTTTTGATAGCAACTATCACCATGTTTGTTGGAACAATGTCCGTCCCCATTATGATTTGATGTTTGATTCATATTTATCCGTTTGCAGTTGCATGGGTGCTTACATGACACCCCCACAAACCTGACAGGGCCCTTCATCAACCAAGTCAAGTATCATACAGGTTCATAGTGTTGTTAATATCAAGTTGTGTATCCCACATTATTCCATGAAATTTTCGGATAGCCTCATTATTCATTATAAATGCTATCAACAAAAGCTATCCCCATAACATGGCATGGTGGCGCAGTTATATCCCCATAAATCATGGCAAATTATGATAATTCAGCAACCTTACATTAGCAGCAAGCATAGGGATGGTGCCTGTCACCTATCATATCTATCATCATCTTGTTGAGCTCGTGACGACGTCAATAGAAGTCACCCAGATAAATCCAGCTTACGCATACCCTCCGGTTTCATCAAACTGGACAATTTCCCAGCTGTAAACTGTAAACCACCGGATGTTAAGATCATCTATTGGTTGGTTAAGAACAGGATTCCCCTAATCCGAAAATTGAGGGGCCGGTTTGATATACTATGTATCATCATCTACCTATTGGTTGGTTTCCATAAAGAGACCCCTTTATTAATCAACTGACCAGTGGGAAAAGGACATCTATGTTGGATAGTAAAATCCCCAACATTTTGGATTCTATAGATCTCTATATATAAAATTTGGTTGACTCCTGTTGAAGTACCATTTGTGCTGCTTAAATCATGATCTTTCTTAGTTAAACCACCATTTTGGGCAGCTTAAACCACTGCTTTTGCGCCAGGCCCGGGGCCCCTAGTGGGCCCCCCTGGCCTCGTACTGGACAGCGCCGTCCAGCTGTTGAACGCCGAAGCCATGTCTGGGGTGAAACCAACAATGAGTAAAGCAATCATAGATTATTAATATGTGGAAAAAATCAATGGAATTACACCATATTGGAGATATTTGGGGATGTATAAGTTGTAATGTTGGTAAAGCAATAGTAAACCATCCCCAATTTTGCCATCAATGGGTGGTATAAACCATCAAAACATGGCTGGTTTATTACTACTTTACTAACATTATTTGACCTATATCTATTTATAAGTGGGTTATACTTATGATTTATCATAGTATACTTATTTGTTCACAAATTGCATATCCAAATATGACACTATTTACGACACTTTGTACACACACATATATATATAATGTAAATATCCATATGCAAATAGATATATATATATATATACGTATATATATATATATTTACAGTATGTGAACAATTCATGGGTATACATATAGAAATATAAAAACATTATATATACATTAAAACATTTAAAACGTTGATAGTCTTCATATCCGAGAAGTTCAAAGTTGGAGACCCTCCAGTGATACGAATTGCAATGGGAAATCACGATTTTCATCAAACCAAATGGGCCATCTAAACCATACTGGTTGGTGGTTTCAGCCCCTCTGAAAAATATTAGTCGGTTGGGATGATTATTCCCAATATATGGAAAAATAAAACAAGATGAAGCCCACGAACCCGAATGCTCACACGTATGTTAATGGTACAGATGTCAAAACACATGGTTATGCAGTCACGCACAATACCTTTCTGCAATAGTTTATTTGAACAGTCTTGTACATGTTTCCCTTGTTACCAGTCTGCAGTGTGGAGTGGAAAGTGTAGAGTGTGGAGTGTGAGTGTGGAGTGTAAAGTGTGGAGTGGGAGTGTAGAGTGTGTAAAGTGTAGAATGCGGAGTGTAAACTGTAGAGTGTGGAGTATGGAGTGTAAAGTGTAGAGTGTGGAGTGTGGAGAGAGTGTAGAGTGTGGAGTGAGGAGTGTAAAGTGCAAAGTGTGGAGTGTGGAGTGTAAAGTGAGGAGTGTAAAGTGTGGAGTGAGGAGTGTGGAGTGTAAAGTGAGGAGTGTAAAGTGTGGAGTGAGGAGTGTGGAGTGTAAAGTGAGGAGTGTAAAGTGTGGAGTGAGGAGTGTGGAGTTTGTAAATTGTAGAGTGCGAAGTGTAGAGTGTAATTTTAGAGTGTAAAGTGTAGAGTGTGGAGTGTAGAGTGTAGCGTGTGGAGTGTGGAGTGGAAAGTGTAGTGTGGGGTGTGTAGAGTGTGGAGCGTGAAGTGTAAAGTGTGGAGTGTAGAGTGTGGAGTGTAAAGTGTAAAGTGTAGAGTGTGGAGTGTGGAGTGTAAAGTGTGGAGGGAGGAGTGTAAAGTGGAAAGCGTGGAGTGTAGCGTAAAGTGTAAAGTGTGGAGTGTAAAGTGTGGAGTGTAAAGTGTGGAGTGAGGAGTGTAGAGTGTAGAGTGAGGAGTGTAAAGTGTGGAGTGTGGAGTGAGGAGTGTAAAGTGTGGAGTGTGGAGTGGATTATTGTGTGGAGTGTGGAGTGTGGAGTGGAAAGTGTGAAGTGTGAAGTGTGGAGTGTAAAGTGTGAAGTGTGGAGTGTAAAGTGTGGAGTGTGGAGCGAAAGTGTGGAGTGTGGAGTGAGGAGTGTAAAGTGTGGAGTGTGGAGTGAGGAGTGTACAGTATAAAGTGTGGAGAGTGTACAGTAAAGTGTGGAGTTTGGAGTGCGGAGTGTGGAGTGGAAAGTGTGGAGTGTGGAGTGTAAAGTGGGGAGTGTGGAGTGTAGAGTGTGGAGTGAGGAGTGTAAAGTGTAAAGTGTGGAGTGTGGAGTGTAAAGTGTAGAGTGTAGCGTGTGGAATGTGGAGTGGAAAGTGTAGAGTGTGGTGTGTAGAGTGTGGAGTGTGGAGTGTAAAATGTAAAGTGTGGAGTGTAGAGTGTAAAGTGTAGAGTGTGGAGTGTGAAGTGTAGAGTGTAAAGTGTAGAGTGTAAAGTGTAGAGTGTGGAGTGTAGAGTGTAAAGTGACGATTGTAAAGTGTGGAGTGAGGAGTGTAACGTGTGGAGTGTGGAGTGTAAAGTGTGGAGTGCGGAGTGTGGAGTGGAAAGTGTGGAGTGTGAAGTGTGGAGTGTAAAGTAAGGAGTGTGTAGTGTAAAGTGTGGAGTGTGGAGTGTAAAGTGTAGAGTGTGGAGTGTAAAGTGTAGAGTGAGGAGTGAGGAGTGGAAAGTGCAGAGTGCAGTGTAAAGTGTGGAGTGTGGAATCTAAAGTCTCAGGTCAGGAGTGAGGAGTGTAAAGTGCAAAGTGTGAAGTGTGGAGTGTAAAGTGTAGAGTGTGGAATCTAAAGTGTAAATTGTGGAGTGTGGAGTGTAAAGTGTAGAGTGAGGAGTGCGGAGCTTCCCCCATAGACACGGCGACACCACAGGAAAACCAGAGACTCGAGACGAGACACGCGGGTGCAAAAAAACGAGCATTTCGTGCGAGACTTCCTCCAATTTTGATATTTTCGACACGTTATCAAACAGGTTGGAATGTCACAAAGTGCCACGCCTGCCAGGCAAAACGACATGACAACCTGCTTGGACACATTCGAATAGGAGATGTTTTCCAGCTTCCCCCATAGACACGGCGACGCCACAGGAAAACCAGCGACTCGAGACAAGACACGTGGGAGCACCAAAACCAGCATTTCGTACGAGACTTCCTCCAATTTTGACATTTTCCACACGTTATCAAACAGGTTGGAATGTCAGAAACTGTCACGCCTGCCACCCAAAACGACATGACAACCTGCGTGGAAACATTCGAAAAGGAGAGGTTTTGCGGCTTCCCCCATAGACTCGGCGACGCCACAGGAAAACCAGAGACTCGCGACAGAACACGTGGATGCAGAAAAAACAGCATTTCGTACGAGACTTCCTCCAATTTTCACAGTTGGCAACATGACAAAAGGACAAGTTTTGCAGCTTCCCCCATAGACACGGCGAGGCCACGGGAAAACCAGAGACGCGAGACGAGACAGGTGGGAACACCAAAACGAGCATTTCGTGCGAGACTTCCTGCAATTTTCACACTTTGTAGCTGCAAAATCGACGTTTTCCTACGAGTTTTCCTTAGAACCTGAAAATTTGCAACCTCAAAATCGATGTTTCGTGCGAGGCTTCCGTCAATTTTCACCACATCGCACAAAATGCCACGCCTGCCACGGAATTTGCACATTGTCGCCACTTGACGCAGCCCTGCCAATGCGATTTACAAAAAACACGCAACACGACACGTCTAAAGTGCTGCGCCTGCCACGAAAAATGACGATGGACACGTCCAAAGTGCTGCGCCTGCCACGAAAAATGCAAGACATCTTGTGAAAACGTTGCGAAAGTATTGCACCTGCCGCACAAAACGACTTTCGACACGTTCCAGAACACGTCTGAATGTCACGAAGTGCCACGCCTGCCACGCGAAACGAAGCAACGACACGTCTGAAACCTCCAAAAATGACCACCTCTGCAGAACTTCCCATAGGCACGGCCATATGGTCCTCGCGCGAACGGTTGCGGATGGTTGCGGACGGTTGCGAACGGTTGCGACCGTGAACGCAACCTCGAGCGAACAACCCCCAGACCCCCAGAGTGAAACGGGAACCCTTGCTACGCATTCGGGAAAAAATGTTCCAAACCACCAACCAGTTATGCTCGTTTACTGGAGGGTAATTCTCATATTTTTGGGTGATGAATCATCAAACTGAATTGAATGTGCACCATGTTCATCCATACCATAGCAACCTGTTGGATTGCTACTGCAACCAAGTACTTTTACACGATTCATGGGGAAGATGTTTGGGTCCATAAGTAGCCAACCCAGGGCATTTTTGGGTGCAAGTTTCAAATTTTGGCATTTTTTTTAGTTCTTATAGCGGCGGACATGCACTTAGAACATACTTTGGAAAAAAAAAACTGAACATCTTCACAGCGGGGATGTTCTAAATATGGATTTCAAAAAAAGTAGTTCGAACATACCCAACACCTATACTTAGAACATTTCCAAGCTATACTTAGAACATCCCAGTGTAGGAAACCCACAAATTACTAGAGACCTTCCCATTGCAGCAAAGACTGCTTGGGATATTGTTCCCGAAGAAAAGGTATATAATGCTGCAGCAGTGAGGGGAGAAAGTGTTCTAAGTATGGTGTTCACCAAGGTATTTGTGTGTATATATGCAGATTTACCAAAGTAACAGGACATGTTCTAAGTATATGTGTGTTTTAATGTTCTAAGTATGCAAAAAAAAATCAAAGGAGATGTGCTAAGTATTTGTTTTTCTGATGTTCTAAGTGAATACTTAGAAATATTTTTTGATGTTCTGCATATATGTCCCGTCGCTATATATTCTTTAAAATTGATGTTTTATATTATTTCTTTTTTTCGCTGATCCTTAGTTGGTGTCTCGCCCCGCGCGGCCGACCCACTCACAGCCTTTCGGAAGAGCCAAAAGACGAAGAAGCGAAGGACTCTGATACACTCGGCCGCTGCCCTGTGCTTCAGCGGCTTTGCGAAGGAGGAGCTTTGTGTAGCAGAAGTGGCCTTCAGCGGCTTTGCGAACAGCCTCTGCTGCGAAGTTTCTTGCCGGGATGGTCTTCGGCTGCTCCCTCGCTTTCTTCTCTTCTTTCTTCTTCTTTTTCAAATAGCTCTTCCAGGTGGCCTCGCTCACCGCTGGCCCCTCCTGAGGCTTGCCCATCGGAATGTCCCCCTTCTTGTTCATTGCGGCAGGGGAGCCGGGCAACAAAAAATTGAGCCAGGAGCTGCAAGCAAAACAGCGACAAATTCAATTCAAGTTTGACACGGCAACCTTTAGTGAAAGGCGCAACTCTAGTGCAAACCGAACTGAACGCTGTGATGCTCTTGTGGTGTCCTTGGGGGTGGCTGTCGTTGTCTCTTTTGGCTTCCTTCCTTTTTCGGGGGGCCGTGGCCTCTTCCAAAAGAGCCCTTTGTACCCGAAACAGGGTCCCAAGAAGGCTCTTTTGGCCACTTGACTGCTCTCACTAGGCAAGGGGGAATATAAGGTACATACATACCTTTTACTTTGCTTGAGGCAGAGCTCTAAGCCTGTGCAAGGCTCTGGGCCTTCACTTTGGCAATGTTGGGCTTGAATCTGGGTAGGGCTCCGGGCCTCTATGTTCGCAATTTTGGGCCTGAAAGGGGCAAAGCTGTGGGCCTGTATTTTGGCCATTTGGGGCTTGAATCTGGGCAAGGCTTCGGGCCTCTATGTTGCCAATTTTGGTCTTGAATCTGGGCAAAGCTGTTGGTTTCTATTTTGGCCGTTTTGGGCCTAACTTTGGGCAAGGCTTTGGGCCTCTACTTTGGCAATTTGGGGCCTGAATCTGGGCAAGGCTCGGGCCCGGGCCTCTATTTTGGCAATTTTGGGCTTGAATCTGGGTAGGGCTCCGGGCCTCTACTTTGGGCCCTCCTCCTATGTTAACTCCTCGATGACAAGGCCTTCCTCCCATGTTAACTCCTCGGTGACAAGGCCTTCCTCCCATGCTAACTCCTCGATGACAAGGCATTCCTTCCCTGTTAACTCCTCGGGGGCAAGGCCTTCCTCCCATGCTAACACCAGAGTTATCCCAAAGACAGGAGGCAAAACCACCAGGAAAGACATCAGAGTTATCCCAAGATAGGAGGCAAAACCACCAGGAAAGACATCAGAGTTATCCCAAAGACAGGAGGCAAAACCAGCAGGAAGGACATCAGAGATATCCCAAGAGTTGAACAATGGGCCATAGTCTCAACATATATCAAACCCCGCTAGGTTGAACAATGGGCCATAATCTTAACATATGTCAAACCCCGCTAGGTTGAACAACGGGTCATACTCTCAACATATGTCAATCTCCGCTAGGTTGAACAACGGGCCACAATTTCGACATATATCAAACCCTGCTAGGTTGAACAGCGTGCCATAATCTCAACATATGTCAAACCCTGCTAGGTTGAACAACGGGCCATAATTTCGACATATGTCAAACCCCGCTAAGTTGAACAGGCAAAACCACCAGGAAAGACATCAGAGTTTTTCCAAGACAGGAGGCAAAAGCACCAGGAAAGACATCAGAGTTATCCCAAGACAGAAAGCAAAACCACCAGGAAAGACATCAGAGTTTTCCCGAGGCCTTCCTCCCATGTTAACTCCGCGATGACAAGGCCTTCCTCCCATGTTAACTCCTCGATGACAAGGCCTTCCTCCCATGCTAACACCAGAGTTATCCCAAAGACAGGAGGCAAAACCACCAGGAAAGACATCAGAGTTATCCCAAAGGCAGGAGGCAAAACCACCAGGAAAGACATCACACTTATCCCAAGGCAGGAGGCAAAACCACCAGGAAAGACATCAGAGTTATCCCAAAGACAGGAGGCACAACCACCAAAGACAGGAGGCAAAACCACCAGGAAAGACATCAGAGTTATCCCCAAGGCAGGAGGCAAAACCACCAGGAAAGGCAAACCACCAGGAAAGACATCAGAATTAGCCCAAGGCAGGAGGCAAAACCACCATGAAAGACATCAGAGTGATCCCAAAGACGGGAGGCAAAACCACCAGGAAAGACATCAGAGTTATCCCAAGAATTGAACAACGGGCCCTAGTCTCAACAGATATAAAACCCCGCTAGGTTGAACAATGGGCCATAATCTCAACATATGTCAAACCCCGCTAGGTTGAACAACGGGCCATAATCTCCACATATGTCAAACCCTGCTAGGTTGAACAACGCGCCATAATCTCAACATATGTCAAACCCCGCTAGGTTGAACAACGGGAGGAAAGGAGCGAGGGGATTCTGATAGAAACAACTTCAGAGGCAGGTGGATTTGTGATGAACAACCGAGAACTTTCATCAGATTCTGTGCCCTCTTGAACACATGTCATGCCGTGTCATGCTTTAAATACTTAAACACACTTGCATCCCTAGTCCACTCAATGTTTGCGATCGTTTGACACTGACTCTTGCGATCCCTCTGCTCTTTTTTCCGCGCCGATGCTTTTAGCTCAAGGCAGGCCTACCCCATCTGCTTGTTGGATGGCTTCAAATCTTCGTCGCATGTCGTCGTTCCAGCCTATCCAACATCTGCGGCATACCTTCACAGAATCGAACCCCGAATTCCCCAAGTAGCAGCAGCCAAGGTCACGGTGCGCCAACCGGCTGCTATCCCCCTTGTTGATGAACAGCAGGTGTTCGGTGTTCGGCGGTGTCCGCACGCAGATCCGGCATAGATGGATCTCGTCGAGGCGTCCGGCTTGGAGCAGGCTGGGGCACATCAGCTCCATTGTGGGGCCAGTGGCCGCCCAGATCCATCAGCAACCCTTGGTGTTTGCCTGGAAGCTGGGTCTTTAAAGAGGACATAGAAGGACCCATTTATCATAGCTTCCAGAAACTCCACAGATAGAACACAGGAGCTTTGTGGAGTCTCCCAAATTCACATCAATATCTTGTTTCTTAACATTATGGCTATATTAAATGTGATAAACCCAAGTTTATAAACAATCTTCGAAATCATTTTTATGGATGCTATGTTTACCATCCCCAAAGGGTAGGTTTATTATTCGGTTTCCTACATGATATGTATGTTCATAATTTCATACGTTGGCTTATAAACGCCATGAACTTTAGGTATATCTACCATAAACCCTCGAATTCAGCCACCTATTTGCGTCAACTTTAGGCCATCCTGGCAGCCCCACCTTGCATGTCTACATGTATGTTCATATATAATTTCATACATTCTATTCCCGTTGTAGTTCCATTAAGTCATATTAAATCCCTTATTGCTGATTGAATCCATGATATTCCCACTAGCTTCTCATGGCCTGTCCATGATATTCCCACTATAGCTAGATTTGCTATATCCCATCCCAGCCACGTCTCGCCTCTTCCCGTCACGCCATTGTCCACGGTACACCCGACCATTCGGCTCACAGAGGGTTCCCTCGCCGTGCTTGCGACCTGGGGTGAACCAAGGCGACAGAGGAACCATGGCTGGATCATCCGAATGGTGGAGCAGGTAAACACTGCCAGAAATAGATACCTATATAATCTATAAACATCTATAAACTATAATCATACATACTCCTAGGTCCTAAGTATAGATGTGTCATATGAAGATATAGTCATATAAACATATATACAGCAGTATACATATATATATATATTATACAAATAGAAAGTAAATTTCCATCTACTCCTAGCTACCCTGGCAAACTGCACGACAGTAGCAGTTAACAGAAGCTTTCGTACAAATTTTCGTGGCCGAAGAGCCAGCCAGGTGTGCAGTGAGTCCACGAGGCAAATGACTAAGGGTGCAGAACTTTTTTGGGATTTGTTTTTTGTTTTTCGGTCTGGGGGCACTGTTCCTTGCTATTTGCTATATTTTTGAGCAAAAACATGTACTTGCTGAATTTTGGAGCTAAAATTTGCCATTTGCACTGTTCATCAATTGTTGAAGCACAACCAAGTTGGGTCTAAATAGTGGCATTGGATGCTATCATAATGTTGGTTGGTTTAGGGTTTATTTAGGGTTGGTTTAGGGTCATTTAGGATTGGTTTAGGGTTGGTTTAGGGTCGGTTTAAGGTTTTAGTGTTGGTTTAGGGTTTATCCAGAGTTATTTAGGGATGGTTTAGAGTTTATTTAGGGTTGGTTTAGGCTTTATTTAGGGTTTATTTAGGGTTGGTTTAGGGTTGGTTTAGGGTTGATTTTGGGTTGGTTTAGGGTTTATTTAAGGTTTTTGTTAAGTGTTGGTTTAGGATTTATTCAGGGTTATTTAGGGCTATTTAGGGTTGGTTTAGGGTCTATTTAAAGTCTGTTGAACTGTTGAAGATTGGATTAAGGTACATGTAGGGCTACGAGGTGTGTATATAAAGGTAGATGTATAGATGGATGGATGGATGGATGGATCGGTAGATTAGATTGGATTTTATTAGATTAGATTTAGATTAAGATTAGATGAGATAAGATTAGATTTAGATTAGATAAATTGGATTAGGTTAGATTAGGTTAGATTAGATAGATTGGGTAGATACGGTAGATAGTTTAGATAGATTAGATTAGGATAGATTAGATAGATAAGATAAAATAAGATTAGATAAGATTAGATTAGGTTAGATTAGATTAGGTTTGGTTAGATTAGATAGATAGGTAAAGCATGGTAAAGCCACAAAAGCCTCACACCCACAAAAGCCACAAAGCCACAAAGCCAGGCTGGAAAACAAAAACAAAAAAAAAGCAAAAAAAAAACACACACCCAAAAAATAGCCCTCCAATGACTAATCCCTTTGGCTTGGAACTTCACTGATTTCATGAAAGGCGGAGCTCCCAAAGTGGTGCAGCGCATATGTAACACAAGGCTGTCCGACAATATCCCTTTGGATCCCAAAAACCCAAAAGTGGGTGCCGAAAAATCCATGCTCGATCATCACTTTCCTCATTAAAAATTGCCATATATTGGGTGGCAAATCAGCATGGCTGGGCAAACCTCAAAGTCTAGGTGAAGTTATATCCTATTCATATCCATGATGGTTGTATGTTAAAAACAACAATATACATAATATATATATACATACATTATATACCTCTGTGATAATGAGTTACCTCATTCATATCCATGAATATCCATTATGTACATCATACATTCTATTAATACATATCCCATGATACATTTGGGGGAACCCATCTCCCACCGCCTGCGCGCCACTGGCCCTCGTAGATGGTGCCATCAGCCCAGCGCCGTACTCCACGGCCGTCGAAGTGCCCTGCACGGAAGTGGCCCTGAACGACGGACGGGCGCAACATGGCGCAGCTGGGTATGGCTTGGGGCCACAGATGTTAGATGAATCAACATGTGCTTATGTGGTGGTTTGGGTGGGTGGTTTCGGGGATCTGGGAAATTGAAGTTTATCATTGATGTTGATAGATCTTTAGAAGATGAACCATCTAATTCTTGGGGTACCTAATTTTGACCCATAGCCAGTTGCAGTTCTGGTCAACTGGGATACATCTTCCCCAAGTATTCTAAGATTTTTCTCCTGAAAAAAAACAGACATGCTGAAAACGGGTTTTTAGACACTATTCGTAAACCTGTATTACTGTATCAACATGTTCAGGGCCATTTGGTGGTGGCACCACCCAGCAGTCTACAATCTACAATGTGAATTGGTCTTTTGATATCCATATCAACAAGTATCACAATAGTTATTTCAGATCCCAAGGGAAATCTCTGAATCTCATCTGGAAATGGACAATACCCACTTTTGGCAGATAATTCAACTCAACATTATTGTAAATTGATCTAAATTGGTAATCATTGCCATTGATCAGGAAGCAATCCATAGTCATTCCCGCCAGCCATGACAAATCAACCCATAGCCCATAGCCTCTGGCAATTTAGGGTACCCCAAAACCCCAGCTTTTGCCTCATAAAGGTCAGTACCCTGCTGGTCCAGCAGCAACTGACCCTGACCCTCCCGGAGGCTGTAGCGAAAGTTGCCTGCGGCTGTTTTGTCATCCAAAATTGGTCAAAACATGTTCTTTGGAGCCGAAAAAACTACGTTTCTTTCTGACTGTGGAGCTTAGCTTTGAAAGCAAACAATACATGAAACATTCTAGAACAAACTATTCCCAGCGGTTTAAGGGAAAATCTATATAGGGGATTTGCCTACCAGCTTTGAGTTTTGGAGCAAGATCTCCCCTGAAAATTGATATGGTCAGGACTCACCACACTTCGAATGGAGGAGCGATTTGTGAAGTGGGGACCATACACACTCTTTACATGTTGAAACGTTTAGACTCTAATATTAGATATAATTTCATGGGTATCATGATGGGTATCATGAGTTCTATGACACATTCGACTGTATTCTTTACATTATCCTAATAGGAAATAATGAGGCTATTGAGAACTACTGTTACAATCTATATTGGATATGTATATATATATTATATTATACATAATTAACCAGAATTAGGTATACAATGGTATACATAGGTATACATAGGTACGAGATGGTACGAGTATTGTAATCCTGAAAGTAGGCAATAGGTTACATGACAGGAAGATATTTACTTTCTATGGATGAATCATGCCAGGTGGATTGGTGCATCTAGTGACTGGGATACATATCGAAGTGGTTTCGATTCACCAAAAAGGAGGAGACCATCCAATGTGATCCAACATGTACATACTGTCCAGGATACAGAACCAACTGAAAAATCCAACATTTTCATGTAGATCAAACCATGCATTTCCCATGGGGGTATGTTTACTGAAAGGTAAACCATACGGCTGCTGGTAGATGACACTGAAATGGGAACCCCAGCCCTGGCCATCTTTTGGCCTACGTAGATGCTACCGTCCGGCATCTCTTCGCGTCCCTGCCCAAATTTTGGCCTCAGGCAAGAAGGAATGGGCGATGCGCTGATAGCAGCGCTCGAAGAAAATTGGGACGATAGATGGATCAGTTATTGATCACATACTTACTGAAACTGGTTGGTGGTTTCAACCGGTCTGTTGTTCCCAATATATGGAAAAATAAAAAATGTTCCAAACCACCAACCAGTTAAGTTAACTTAAATGTCATTCCAAATTCAATTGTCTAATTGTCAATTGATGCAGGTTCTATGTTTTATGGATAAGAATAGTGAAGTGAAGATACTGATTGACAATCATTGGCTTGTGAGTTTTGAATGCATATAACATATGCAAACCATTCACAAAAAATATTGAAGCAATGCATGTGAATGAAATCAATATGTTGTAATATAGATTATAAATGAGCTATCGGTCAACCAATAATGCTTGATATGATGAAACAACTGATCAGCCAAGAATGGGTGATATGTCAACCGGCGATGATCAACGATGAGCGATGCCTCAAATCAAAAAATTGGAAATTCTGACCCCCAAAAAAAACGAGTGCTTGCGTAAGCAAGCACCCCGAAGTTCTCAAACAACTGCATGCGGAATGTTTCAACATAAGAAACATTAAGAAACAACAAAGAACTAAACTAAACATGCAAGCAACATTCTTGCATTCAAGCAACCCCCAGGAAAAACAACTCCAACATCATACACATTCAGAAATACTCAACACACAGAAAATCACAGAAATATGGGAGCAGTAGGGATTCTGATGCCATTGAAACCATCAAAATGGTTCATCCAGAGAAGGCTTAATTGCATTCGATTACATCTGCGATATTGTCGTTTAGACTGGTTTAGATCCCGGCCACATTTTTCTGACACAACATGCAAAACCACGTTCAATCTTAAACCCTGACATAGCTAGTAGAAGAATCGTCTGAACATGAGCCAGCTAGGTCCTGGAAAACCTTGCAGAGGCTCCCAGCCGGAAAGGAAGCACCCTGGCATTCTCGTTTGCCTGGCTCCGCCGCAAATGGCTGGACATGGCCTCTCTTGGCTTCGGAAACCAAGTCTTTTCATGATTTGTTCTGGTGGAATTTCAACTACCGGTGTTTTAGATTGTTTTAGCCTATTATTCAAGCAGGCCTGAAAAATAAAAGAATCTTCGAAACCAGGGCACTTCCAGCATGGAATGCTTCGAACAAACAGGTCAGAGTCTGTCCGTACTTTCCTAGTTCTGAGCGCCTCGAAGTTTGACGAATGTCACGGGTTAAATCCCTTAATTTTGGCTGGCTACTACTATTGACTGAATGAGTACCATTCACCAGCCAGTTTAGCCTAAGGGATGCCACATACCTCTTTTAGCTTGCCCCATTTGCAGCAAAAGTTTGGCCCAGATCATGGTCGGCATATGTTCCCCATCTTTCAACACACACATAACATACATGCACAATGCATAGTATAGCTAAGAGATGTAAGATGTATATATATATATATATAGAATATATAATTTATCTTTATCAGGTATAGCAAAAACATGTAACTGTTATAGATCAATATAGATCATACGATTCTCATCTCCATATCTTGCTGGTTTTGTGCTCTTTTTTCTTTTAAAAACCAACGTTTTCCTCACCCAGCTGCACCTCGACCATGGGTGACCAGTGGCCTCAAAGGCCGAAGAAGTTCCGGCAATGCTGTCGTCAAGCACCGGTTTTCTCATACTGTGGTGAAGAAATAGATAGATAGACAATAGAAAAGTAATGAAAAGTAGAAATACAATGAAATATAGACAATGGACTAGATGAATAGAAAAACAACACCAGGCTTGTGGTGCGAACATATAGAATCATATATATATATATAGAAAATTAGATAATACTGTACACAAGTTGGAAAGCTAGGTAAGTATCATTGATAACATCCCGAAGACAATTGACAATACATTCTCTGTTCAATGGAACAGGTCAAAGCCAGCGATTAAGGATAGCAGCCATAGATGGAAATGGTACGGATCTAAAGCCAGGTCGGCGAGGATAGGCCACGATTAAACGCACTTTCGATCTCACCAACGAATCATTTATAATATATATATAAAATATATTATATATATATATATTATATATATTATATATATTATATATATATATCAACACCAACATTGGAATCATTGCAATTTTCTCTATCTGAACTAGAAACATTACCTGTCATCCCTTCTGCGGGGTTCACCCTGAGTCAACCACTGTTTCAAGCGATGGTCTTAGCAAAGATATGCGGACATGTAAGGACCCTGGCTACCTTTGGACCCCCTGCAAAACAAGTATCTTTCTAGCAGGATACCGTATGGATATGGGATCACATTGTCAAAGTAACATATCAACCAGCGATCAATTGGGGTTGTATAAAAAACCCGGTATCTTTTTAAATGACCCAAAATCACGTTATCTGTTTTTTTACTCTTATCGTTTTCTCAGGTGGTGAGCTCCCTGTAGACAATAAATGTGAATGTTCCAGCTTTCTGTGGGTGAGAGCATCCTTGGTCGAGAGTCAACAGATGCCATCTTTTGTTTTCATTTTGCATTCATTTCCTTCATGTTTGATCATTTTTGCATTAATTTCCTTTCATTTTGCTTTTATGTCCTTTCATGTTCCGTCGCTATGTATCAAAGATACAGGTCTTCGAAAGCTGATATGTTCAAACCCGTCAGGTGGGTATCCGCCCAAACGCTCGCGTTTTTTAATATATCGTTATCGTTTTTGTTATTGTTTAGCTATCCTTTTGGAGGCATGTGCAGGTTGCCATCTTCAGGCTTCATGAACATGTACATGTATAAGCTCGTTATCCATTTTTTCTTTACTCTTATCGTTCTCTGGGCCGGCAATGCATTGGCAGTGTTAAGGTGCAAGCCAAGCTAAAATGAAATGCCCGGGGTTACAGTACTATCCCAATTGCTGCTTTGGGGTCTGGTTCTTTGGAATCCCACAATCCCTTCAGCGTTGAGAACCACACAAAGCTCCTCCCATCGCGGAGCAAATTCAACTGCTTTGCAGGACTGGTTGGTGCGAGCCACGCCGAGACGCAAAATGGACAAGGCAATGGTCGGCTGTACCAGTAACTAGGTCTACCACCCATATTCTGCCGTGGTATGAAAAGGATGCATGCAATATCATGCAATCCTATAGTTGAAATATGTTGAAACTGTCCACGTATTCACCATCCATAGTCAAAATCAAACTATTCATATAAAGAATCAGCACACGGCCTGATATGAACGCTTGACCAACCACTCGCTCCCTCTACCAGTTCAGGAAGTGGACATTGGTTAATTGCGTGGAACTTCTAGTCTAGATAGCAAAAGTTTGAAAAGCGGTCAACATTAACGTTCCATCTTCAGATTACACGATTGAACTGAAGGAAATTGAACCAAATTGGCCGCCTTTGAAAGCACTTGGCGCTTTCGACCAAAAATACTGAGCAACCAAATAGATAGCAAAGTATAGAAGAATAAAATCATTCATGTTGGAAATGTATGGACATGTGCCAGGTAACAACAGGTAACAATCCCCACAGATCCATAACCATCAAGCAGTTGAGATCATCATCGCACAGATCCGCACTTTTTTCCGAAGGCCGCATCTAGAGCTTGGCCTCGCGTGGCAAAGGAGACTCGTGTCGTTTTTCATGGGGAATCTGGGAAGCCAATGTTTGGGGAAGCCCAATTTCCAAAATCCATCATTGTTGTTACATCATTTGTTTGCCTTGAACTATGGTAAAGTTGTTGTATGGCGGCAAGATATGCAGGTTGGGTCAGAATGTTCTGCCCAAAGAACGGGGCGGCGTCACTCGTTTCACTGCCTTAACATGTCTACCGTTACACTGAGCTCTCAGACAATAGTGATCTTGAAGCACTCTACATGGGCACGTCTGAAAATGTGGTACACCCTCCCCAGGTACGGCCATTTGAATGGGGATAATGATTACACCACCAAATGTTCATAGAAAACTACAACCCGAAGGAGTTGCCCCTCCGCCTGCTTGCTCGCTTCTTGAAAGTGTCGCGAGCTTTCTTCTTGGTGGGCCTATTCAAGCCAGGCTGTTTGCTACCCTAGTCACTGGTGATCATCCCAAATAAGGGGTATTCTTTCCTTTAGAATCCTTTAGAACAAGTATAATCAGCAGTTAAAACCATGTAAAACCAGCAACCAGCAATAGCCAGGGCAAGGTTTCTAAAGCGTCCTTGGCTGCGAGGAAAGCAGGTCTCTGGCAGAGACGTTCCAAGTAGTTCTTGGTTTGGTCCTTGTATTGCCTCAGCAGCTCCGGACGACCGGGACGACGGGTCGATTCTCACGGCAGAACATAGCACAGTTGCAGACAGTTGGTTGGTTCTGAATGGTTGATGTCCAAACACCTCACAAAAAGGGAAGTAGAGGCATTGACTCAACTGCCAATTCAGTGAAGCTCCGGAATTGATACTGAAGAATGAGCCTCTGACTTTAGCTCGTTCCTTTTTAGCAACCGATGGAGCGTGTGAGGTTCCAAAAAATACCACCAGAGAATACTATGATTTAGAAACAGTGAAACTTTCCTTTGTATCCTTAACATTCCACCCGTACTCATCACTTTCGGATCTACCATACTGGAGAGATAGATGAATATCTCAATCAACTAACTGCCCCTCCTGTACACAAACATGACGCCGGAAACTTCTATCGTAGAATAAAGCTAATCATTATTCATTTCTACACAGTATATGATATTATTTGTTCCATTAATGGATCAGATGACCAGAAGGTACAAGAACTGAGACCTGTGGCTTGGAGAAATTTCAAACAGGCCTGGGGATGGAACATCTTGGTCCATACCGTTACAGTTGAAGCTGTTTTCAGTGAATCCGCACCCAAGCCTACCACCTCGCATGCAGCAACCATCAACCCTTTCTTATTTGTGGTTGAGCCAACCCCCTGAGAATATGCTCGTCATTGAGGATCATCATCCCATGTGTATGGTTGAAAATAATCATGTTTGACATTCAATCCAGCTTTCAGTTTCTCCTTTTGTACAAGTGGCTTGTCAAAACCAAAGGTAGTTCCAAGCTCTAGGGCAAATGCAACACCTGAGCCGCTCAGAGCTGAAACTATGATACCTTTCCGTGGAAGAATATCATCAGTTATACATATGTATACTTCATCTATAAATTGCACAAGGATTTAAAAGGAAATATATGTATAATATATATATATATACATACACAGTAAATATATACGTATATCCCATTGTATCCCCTCGTATCCCATTAAAACCATAGCCTTCGGAAATCAACCATGGCTTAGCTGGGAAATCTCCATCAACATTGACATAGGCATTTTCCAGCAAGCCATGTTGGATTACCAGAGGAAAACATTTCTTGGGGTCCCTAAAAAGATAGAAAAGCTGCTCCAGGATGCTATTGATGATAATTTGCCTCATACTTGCCATGGAGTCCCTATACCATCATTTACCTACTGGTTGTTCAATTGTTCAGTGGGGTCGACCCCTCCACCCACTAATATCAACTAATCCACCAGTGGAAAGAAGGATAACTAGAGTTGAAACAAAGGACCTAGTGACATCTCTAGCGGCGCTACAGGGGTGCAGTGAGGGGAGGATCGTTGAAGTGGGATTCTAGATGGCCCCAATGTCAGAACTCCATTTCGCCTCAGACCGATGAGTGAAACTGCAACAGTACAAAGCGACACTTGGTCTGACACTTATTCACAAAAAGCAACAGGGTTACCCTCTAATCATCAATCATGGCTTGCTGGACAATCCTTCATTTTGCTTGATTTTTTCCCATGATTTTCCCATTGAAATGCCTATTGATGTTCGAAGATTTCACAAATAGACGTGTTTGAGGACACGGGGAGGGTAGCACTTCCCCATTGCTGCTGAGATTCAAATATCTGCCAAGGTAAAACGGCCAGCACCTCAATGCGACAGCGAAAGGCGGCACAGACGTGGCATCATGGCTCGATGATATGCACAATGCAATTCTCCGTTTCAAGAGCGCGTCACCCATCACACATAATATTTCTAATTAATATATATAATTATATATATATGATAACCTAGTTGCAGTTCCCAATCTTTTCTGGAATTTACCAATATGCAGAAGTTTAGGAAGTTTATGTCTTGAAATCTTGGGTCAAACAAGACGATTGTGCCTGGTACTTATCACAGCCACAAGTAAATGAAGGCCTTTTGGGGAAACATGAGCTGGTCATAGCTGGTCAATTTTTCGGGTAGAACCCTTCTTTCTGTCAGGTTCTGATTTGTGGAAGAACGCATCCCCCTGGGGCTTCGGCACAAGAATTCTCGGCCATCGGCCAAGGTATTGTCTAAAAGTCTGAGCCTTGCAATGTACCACTTGCCATAGTCCTGCACGGAAACCATTCAATGAATGAAAGCTTCAAAAGAGCGAAGAAATACAGCACTAGTGCCCCTATCCTGGCAGGTAGTTCCCACGAGCCAAGCCATGGATCAGGAGCCATCTTTGAAGTTTCACCATCCAGAACTGCCTTGGTGGGATGATTGCCATCATTACCTAATATGGTTTGAGATTCAGGTTATAACACCAACATAGTCCACATGAAAGGCATCAAAAATATACACCTTGGATGATGTTAGTTGTATATAGTTCTATTACATCTTAACCTAGGACAGTCTATTTATAACATACGATTTGGGTAGTATCTGAATAGCATTTCTTTCAGCCGGACCTCCGCAGCCGAATCAGCACGGCCCTTCTCCTCCGGCCATTCGGCATACCGATGGAATGGACTGGGGTACCCATGGTGAAGCATACCATGGTGGCCCATTTTATCAGACACAGTAGGATTCCTCAGAGAAAAGGCACGTCTAGAGATTTGAGCTGTGGATTTCCACCATTTTATCAACCGTCCGTTTCTGAATCCCAGAAATTGGGCGAAGGGATGTATCTCTCCAGCAGAAATGCGGATATCCCATGGATATCCCATGGTATCATCCGTAAAACTGGGCTTCGACGCAGCCATTTTCATCCAACGCACTTGGGCCCCCGTGGTGTGGGAGATGCCAGACAGGACCCCGTTCCCGTCATATCCATGTTTTCTCCGGCAGCACAAGAAAAAACTGATACTTTCATGATGAATAATGATTACACATGATTAATTAAGCTAAGCTAGACTCGTTGGACTCCTTGGGTTTTGCTCAGGGAAAAACATTGTGTACAGTATGGTTTTGAACTGCAAGGATTTCCTTCGCATCTTCCCTTCATCCAATCATGAGACAGACTCGAGCACTAAGCTGGATCCTAGCTTGCCTTGGCTTTACACTATGTCGAACTTGTGGTACTATGTACTTGGGTTGTGAGTATTTTAAAAACATGCCCACCAACCAAAAAACAGTAAATGACGGCAATTGTAATCAAACACTGCTGGAAAATCCCTGGTTTATAGATGACTTTCCATTAGACCCTCCAGTCATAAGGGATTTTCCAGCCAGCCACGTTTGAAAATCACCAGGACTACTGTGTTTTGCTAAAACCCTGAAAGCCACTGACAACTGATGGGTCAACCTGAAGAAACAACTGGCTGTCGTAGACTTCCCCCTCCTGGAGGGTATAGCGCAAGACCACCGTCTGGGGAAAGGTCAAAGTTGCATCCGCGTGCGCTATCCTGATGGAACTGCAAGGGCAACAAAAACAACTGTCTCAGTGAATGAAATTAACCGTCACCAGAGAACTTCCGTGAAGTTACCGTTTTGAACATACCAGGAAAAGTGCAAACTTGGTTCCCATGACCAGGCCCCAAAGCAGCTATCCCTCGAAAAGACAGCAGAACAGCATTCCAGTGCTGGGCCAAAGCTCCAATTAATGTAGTCTGGCCATTCAGGTTCATCTGGTTTCACTTGTAGGGATGTAGGACCTTATGGCATGGAACTGCTCCAACACATTCCAACACAAACTGATGTCATTTGATTCGTTTAAGGATTTTGGAATCCCAAGATGATGGATACACCAAACCTGCAACTGTGAGAAA